ATATTTTGAGATACTAAATTAAAATATAAAATAAATATAATAAATGAAAATGAAATTATTATAAAATAAAAATGAAATAAGTAGAATCAAAATAAGAATATAAAAATAAAGAAACGAACAATGTATTGAATCAAGAAATTATTAATAAAATTGAATATTTTATAAATACTATTATATTTATATAAAAGATAAATAATCAATAAAATAATAAAAGATAAATATAATATTTAATAATAAATTACAAATTGATAGAAATGATGAAAATAAAATAATACAAATTAATATATGAAATAAAAATAATATCAATAAGAATAAATTGAATAATTAATAATCAATTAGTAACAATAATCATTGAATAATGTATTATAAAATATTATGAAATAATTAATAAAATAGTTAATGAAATTATATAAAGATATAAAAGTATATTATGAATAATAAATTCAATAAAGAATGAAATAATCTCAAATAAAATAGAAAAAAAATAATATCTGTTAATATTTTATTTATTATTTAAAAATAAAATAAAAAATATATCAAAAGTAATATATTAAATTACTAAGGTTAAAAAGATGATAAGAGATAGTATCATCATAGGTGTTGAACCATCTTCACATTCACCATAATTCATTTTATAACCTTTTTCACATTTAATACATTTTATTTCATCACACTCTGAACAGTGTTGATATTCTTCACAATTGTAATAGCATTTTCCAGAATTTAATGTATATTTATTATTACAATTAAGACATGTAGTATCATTACATTTAATACATTTTCCATATTTAGAACAATCATATTCTTTATCTGTAATAATTTTATATCCATTTTTATATTCATCTTCAAAACATTCACCAAGATTATATGAATATTTATTATTATTTCCATTACAATTATTTTCATTAAATACTTCAATTATCAATTCATCTGTTGTAATTCTTGATCTAATACTTCCACTTCCACTATTATATGAAATACATCCTGAACTTGTTAAAATTGTTCTTTCTTTTTCATTTATACCACAACTATTATCTTTATAAATATATCCTTTACTATTAATATTAATTATATTTTTACTACAAATTCCAATTTCTGTTATAATTGAATATGTATCTCCTTTTATTCCACAATCAGGTGATGTTGGATAATGTAAATTTAAATATTTTGTTCCATCATAAACAACCATATCTGATGATTGATCAGAATTTATTGTACACTTTCCAAGTTCTTTTTGTTCAAATAAATAATTTGGTAATAAACAATATATATTTTCTTTATTATTTTCTGCTTTTTGACATGTTCCATCTGTTGTTATTGTTCCATCAACACATTGAATACATTTTTTATTATCACATCTAAAACATTTATTGAAACTAGAACATGTTGATGGATAACATATATCATTAATCATTGGTAATTTATCTAAACATTCAAGACATTTTCCTTCTTCACATATATTACAATTCATTATTTCTGAACATTTATTTAATTCACAAATCCCTTTATTATTTATTTTATATGTTTCTTTACATTTAATACATTTTTTATCTGTACATTCTGAACAATATTCAAAATTATTACATTCTTCCATTTTACATGCTCCATCAATAAGTTCTATTCCTTTTTCACATTCAAGACATTCTTCATTATTACAAAATTCACATTTTGCAAATTTTGAACAACTTTTTCTTTTACATTCTCCATGTTCTAATTCATATCCTTTATTACATTTAGTACATTCTCTTCTTGTACATTCTAAACATCCTTCAAATTCCAAACATTCTTCTATCATACATTTATCATTAAATACATCTTTCCCATTAGAACATTCTAAACATTTAGTTACTGTACATTTTGAACATCCTTTAAAATTCTTACATTCTACATTTGTACATTTTCCTTCTTCATTTAATCCATATCCTTTTTCACATTTAAAACATTCTGATTTTGAACACATTGAACAATGTTCATATTTTTCACATTTTGAACTTATTGTTTCTTCACTTTTATCATTTTCAATTGCAATATTCCCACATCCATCAATATATTTACTATATTCTTTAAGATATACATATTTTGATTCAATTTGATTATTTTCTTTTAATACATCACATATTTGACTTATATCTTCTATACTAATTCCTTCATTTTTAATTTCTATATCAATTATTCCATATTGTTTATTTTCTGTTATAATTGTTTCACTTGTATCATTGATAAAATATTCTTTATTTTCTATTGTTATTCTAAATTCTTCTTCAATATATTTTATAATATCACTTACTACTAATTTAATGATTCCTTCCGAATTATCTTCATAATCACTTATCATTTCTGATGTTATTTTTATTGGTATTTTTCTTATTTCTTTTTCTTTTTCAACATTATAAAATCCAATTTTCACCATTTTTATTGGTTCAAATAAATTAAATGGTTTTTCATTTTCTTTCTTATAAATTGCTAATCTTATTTTGTATCCTAAATTAATTTGTCCATAAATATCAAGTGTATATTCAAAATGATGATCTTCTTCTAATCCATAAACAATTTTAGCTACATTTTTATCATATGTTCCTGCAAATGCTGTTTGATCATATCTCACTTGATTTACAAGTGGAAATTCTAATTTTGCATATCCATCAAATAATGGTGTTGAAAATGTTATTCCAACATTTGGTGTAATTGTTATGTCTAATTCTCCATTTATATTTATTGTTGGTTTAAATACCTTATAATCTTTTTTATCATCTATCTTTATTTGTGCATAATCACAAATATAAGTACCTTCATTAATATTTGCATTTGGATATGAAATATATAATGTATAATCAAATTCTTTTTTGAACTTGGTTTCAACAATAGCTGTTCCTGTTAATCCTAAATCAAGTTTAACTCCAAAATCAAGAAATACATCAAATCCAAATGGAACAATACCAAGTGTAATACTTAAAATATCACTTAATGATACTCGTATAGGATCAACAGAGTACTGAAAATTCATTGTACCACTTAACTCATTCTTAAAATCTAAACCTAAATCAAAATGTCCAAGTATCTTTGCATCAAATTTATACACTCCAGTAAATCCAATATCAAGTTCAATTGGTCCAATTTTAAAATTATTAAGTACATAACAATCTTCACATGTTGTTTTTAATTTAATATCAGTTGTTATATTATCATTTTTCAATGTATTACATAAACTACATAATGTTTTGTTAATTAATGTGTTATCAGTTGTAGAACATATTGAACAATCTAAATTCATTATACTTTTTTGTTTTTCTTTTACACTACCATCTTCTTCAATATTCCATCCAATATTCTTATTATATGGAATTGAAAATTTTTTTGAATATTCAGAATGACAGAAATAATCAATAATTTTACATTCATAATTATATCTTAAATATACATAGAACATTGAATTATCAGTAAAGTCATCAATAATAATTGAATATTCATAATAATCTTTTTTATCAGTTAATTTCATAGATTTAATATTATGTTTTTCATTATTTAACGGTTTATTATTCCATAACAATATTGGAAAATCTTGTTCAATTGTAATGAATGATTCATCTAATTTTTGGTGTTTTAATGTTTTAATTTTAAATGATAGTTGTTTTTTATCATTATCATATTTAATATCATCAAATTCAATCATTTTTTCATGATTAATACAAAAGAAATCTGAATATGAATATTGTTTATTGTCTCCATTTAAGTATTCAATTTCAATAAAATAATTTGTATTATCTTTTACTTCTGGTACTGGTATTTTTATTTGTTTATCACTTGCTTTAACCTTTTTCATATTATAAATACTACTCAATCTATTTCTTTTTAGTTTTACATTTAATTCTATATTACTTTTATCCCCTGAATAATCCCATGTTACTATGATTTCTTCTCCTGTTTTAAATGTTTGTCCTAATATGGGTGTTTTAATTTCTATTTCTCCGTTAACTTCTCCATTACTAATTGTAAATATATTTGATCTTTTTGTTGAACACCAATCACCAATAAATGGAACTTTCCAACAATGATATCTTAATTCAATATAATAAGCTGATCCACTTTTAATATTCATTTTATCATTAAATATAAACTTTTGTTCTTTCTTATCAAAATGATTTATATGTTGACTCTCTCCAATACTTTTATCATATCCTAATCTACTCTTTTTTAATTGCATTTTAACATTATTTGAATATTTAAATTCACTTGTATATTCCCATTGAACTAAAATCTCTTTTGTTTTTGTATAATCTATAAATTCTCCTTCTACTGGTGTTATTATAAAAAGAGGTTCATCTTTCTCTACATAAAACATAGGTCCTTCAATTTCTTTGTATCCTTCCATCTTCATTTTAACTGAATAACTTTTATCTTCTTTATATGATTTATCTATTTCAATACATTTAGTATATACTTCATCACTTGAATATTTAGTATCTTTCACTGGATATGATTTATCCTTTTCAAATAAACTGAGTATCCATTTGAAAAATTTTTTAATAGGGTTTGTTGTTGCTTTAATATTAGGATAAACATCAAATATTATTTCTCCTTGAATATCTTCAATTCCTTTAAGAAGTCTGTAACTTATACAATATTCATCACCACGTGCAACATTTACAGTACCAACTGGTGCTTCAATACTAAATGGTAATATTTTTGATGATCCTTTTGTTTCTATATAATCACTTGGTTGTAATATTTCTGTTGGTATTGATGTTATTTTAACTGTTGATGGATCTACATTAATTTCTTCTTTAAAAATCACATTTCTAAATCCTTTTGTTTTATTTTCTTTATTATATATATCATTATTATTTGGAGTATAAATAACTTTTAATTGATTGAAGTACTCATTAAATGATGCTTTCTCTGTTGTGAGTAAATAATAATATAATCCTTCTTTTTCATAGATTAGTTCAATATCTAATACTCTTCTATTTAATGAACATGAAGTTTTCCACATTTCATTAGACCCTGTAACAAGTGAGTTATCACCCCATGTTTCAATATATTTATTATTTGTTGAAACTATCAAATCATCTCCTTGACATTCAACACTTTCAATTGATTCATCAAAATCAAATGAATGAACGTTTGGTTTTATATCAGCAGAATATTGTAATTCTGTTTCACCAGTATTACCTTTCAAATGATTGTTAATTCCAAATTCATAATGATTATCTACTTTAACAAATCCATCACCTAAAGATGGTGGTTTTATAGGACGTGAATATACAACAAAAATAATCATGAATAGTAATGATATAGTCATTTAAATCTAATACTGTTTTTGAGTGTAGAAAATTTCTTTTTATATTGATTTTAAACCTAACCCATCATTTATTTTTAGAATAAATTGGAATCCGGAATTTAATTTTTAATATGGAAACATACATTTTTTTTAAAAATAAAACAAGTTAGAAGGATCAAATTGAATTAATTTGTTCTTTGTATTAATTTAAAAAGGGGCTTTTTATTTTTATTTGTTTTTTTTTTGGTGTTATTTTGATTCGAAGGTAGCACGTCAGAGACACCACACAGAACCCTAAAATATTTCCATCATTCAAATAAACCAGTTATGGACTGGTTATGGCGTTATGTTTAGTTAGAAAAACATCTTAATCATACTGCAAGAATAGCAGTGTTTATTAATTACAATGATGTGATATCATTGATAATAAACGAATGGGTATTTATAAAGATGTTATTATTACTTGTTAGAATATACATGTATAAATGATAATATAAGATTAATAAAGAAAAAGGATTTAGTGGTTGATTCTAAAAAGAATATTAACTCATAGTAATACAGTAGTAATTATGTATTCTCCTTAAAATAAGAAAATAAAGAAGAAATTCAAACCCATCAAAATTAAAAAGAAATTTAATAATGAATATTTAAGTAATTAATGTTTAAAATACTCTATTCAACATCAAAACAAGAAAAGAAAGTTCTCATAGTTCAACAACTAGAAGCAAAGAATAAGCCAATAGTTGATGAACAAATACTTTTAAAAGAAATGGATTAGTTAATCTCCACTGAACAAGGAACAATAGAAAATATTTCTATTAATACTTAATTATCTACTTTTTTGATGTTATTTTTAACATCAAATTAAAATTACATTTTACTTTTACATTATTGTTTAAATACATCTTATTTCAAATGGTAAAAATGAAAATATTATTTATTTATAAAATTACATAACATTAAAAACGATACAAAACGATTAAAATGTATTTAACCATTATATTTTTATTTTGTTTTGTAAATTATTGTGTTCTAGAATAATTAAACATCATTCATATTTTTATTTCATTACTCCCTTTTTTTATTTAAACACAATCTTATAATCATCAGTTCATTAATTAGTATGGGTGATTGGTATATCAGTGGTTCAAATCTTCAAGGAGAACATGGATTAGTTGATAAAAGAAACTGTCCACAAGGAAGAGCATTTTGTCATAGAATTATTGATGAATGTATTAGAGAAAGAAGAACTTTACATGTTCACCAACAAGATTGGCAAGTAAACACTTTCACTTATCAGAAACTCTAAGTAATTTCTAATTTACTTTCTCTCTTTTATATTTGTTATTTCTTATTTTCTTATCATTTTAATTCTTAAATATTTTTAATTTTATTTTATTACTAAATTATAAATTGTTTATTTATAATTATTTGGTATGACAAATACATAATAACAACATTATGAAAATGTATAATTTAATCACTTCTTCACGATTTTAAAATATCATTTTTGTTTGTTTAACATAATTTACAAATTATTTCATTTTTAAATTTCATTAATAACAATTTAAATACAATAACAATCAATTTTTAAATTCTATTGTATTGATTTATAAATAAATATATCGCATAACATGATAGAGGTAAAGCAACTAAATAAAAAATTTATTTCGGTTTATTTTCAATAAAAACGATTTATTTATTTGACTTTATCTTAAATAATATGTTATGTAATCTAATAAAAATTGAGTGCATAAAAATAAATTCTAAAATTAATAATGTATTTGTTATACATGTTTGTCAATACATGAAATAAAGTTAATTTAACAACATTTTATTTCACAATTAAATAAGTACTTTACAATCTAATCATGGAAGAACGAAAAGAAGTTTAGAAATAACTTTTCTTAAGGGACATTATCCACAAATATATTTCAATTCCATAAATAGGTATAAAATTTCAAAATTTTTAAGAAGAACAAAAAGAGATAGTTATTAAACAAGACAAACACTTTTAACCAAAAACCAAATGTGATAGAATACTTTGTTTTCTTCAATAATCATCTGTATGAAATAAACAAGGTTTTTAAATGAAATTTCAGAATATTGGTTTATTACTCCTGATTTCGTTGAAAGAATATAAACAAATTACAGAAAAAGGAAAATCAGATTGTTTTTTAATAATTCTGGTTTAGTCTAATTCCAATTTATGAACAATATGAAGTTATTAGAATATGGAGTGGGATTATCTTACAAACGTCATTGTCTTCAGAAATATCAGAAGAATTAGTTAGAATACACAACCTGGCATATGACACATATAAACAAAAGAATTAATTGAAAAAATATAGAAGAAATGAAACAAATTAATACTAGTTTGTATCAAATCATAGAATTAAAATTTTATGAATTAATATCTTCATATAAAAGTTTATATTATAAATTCAAAACATTAATTGATATATTGAATGAAGCTGAGTGAGAGATTCAACCAACATTAAATGAATGGAAAAGAGTAGAATTTTGTTTTGTTATTAATAGAGTGAATTATTATCTTACAAGACAAGAACAACTTTTAAGTGATAAATCATTTGAAGAACTTAAATTAATGACAATTCATAGGAAAATGCTTAATCAATTTGTAATTAAATACAAACACTTGTATTTAACAAATACAGAAACTATTCTTGGAATTACATTAACTTAACATAAAATATACTTCATTATTTATTGATTCAAATATTAGTGAATTTTATAAAAAGATTATAAAAAGATTAAATACAGAAGCACAAATTCTTACAAATAAATATTCATAGATTGAATTCACAATAGAAAGGATTAAAGAAATAGCAGAGAGTTTAAAACATGATAACAATCAAGATTTATTAGATAAAATGAAAATAGAAATAAGTGAATTAAAAAATAAACTAAAAAAGTTATGGGGAGATGCAGTAATTGAAGTTGGTAAAGTTATAATACAGAAAGTAGATGATGTATCAGATGTTGCTGTTTCAATTTTTGATATTTATTCATTAATACAACAATTTAAAATAAAAGATATATTAGATTATATGTTAACACAAAATAAAATAACAAACAACTCACAA